GACCTAAGGAGGCGCATCATCGAGCTCTGCCACGATACGCGAGTCGCCGGACACGCCGGGCGGTTCAAGACCTTAGAGTTGGTTTCGCGCAACTACTGGTGGCCGCAGATGTCTCGCCATATCGGACGCTACGTCGCGACCTGCGACTTATGCTGCCGCACGAAGGCCCTCCGAAGGCTTCCGCATGGAGAGCTCCATCCGACCGAAGTCCCGCCCGAACGTTGGCACACTGTCACTGTAGACTTCATTGTCGAGCTGCCCGAGGCCCATGGGTATGACCGGTTATGGTAGTGGTCGACGCCCTCGGAAAGCGCGCCCACTTCACTGAGTGCCATACGACAATAGACGCGGTCGGAGCTGCCCGCTTGTACTATCGGAACGTCTGGAGGCACCACGGAACCCCCGAGAAGTACATTTCGGACCGTGGCTCGCAGTTCATCGCTGACTTCACGCGAACTCTGGCGCTTAATTGGCGTCAAACCGGCTACCTCCACGGCTTACCACCCGCAAAACCGACGGACAAACCGAGCGCGTTAACCAAGAGCTCGAGCAGTACATCCGGATCTTCACCAACTACCAACAAGACGACTGGGACGAGCTTATCCCTGCCGCTGAGTTCGCCTATAACAACCACGTTCACTCCTCCACTCAACAGGTACCCTTTATGACGGACACTGGCCGGCTTCCCCGAATGGGTTTCGAGCCAGGCGCCCGCTCAGAGTTGGAGTCGGTAAACGAGTTTCGCGATCGGATAGCTAACGGCGTCTCCGAGGCAAAGGCCGCACTCGTTAAAGCCAAAGACGAGTATAAACGGTACTACGATCGGAAACGTTCGGACGCTCCGAAGATTCAAGTTGGTGATAAGGTTTGGTTGGACGCCTCTGACATTAGAACGACTCGGCCCTCCGAGAAGTTCTCCCACAAGCGCCTTGGACCGTTCAAGGTGCTCGCAGAGGTTAGCAAAGGTGCCTACAAGCTAGACCTCCCCCGCGTTACTCCAAGCTCCACCCCGTCTTCCCCGTTGTTAAGCTCGAGCCCGCTCAGGACGACCCCTTCGACGGACGACCCGGCTACGACGAACCGCCCCCGAACTAGAGGACGGAGTTCCCGAATGGGAAGTCGAGGAAATCTTGGATGCCAGGATAAGGTATAAGCGTCTTAACTATTTCGTCAGGTGGAAAGGCTACGATGCTTCACACGACTCGTGGGTTCGGTTCGACCGTGTCTTTGCGCCAGACAAGATTGCGGACTTCTATCGGAGATACCCGGGTAAACCACGGCACATCGCCTCAGCAACCTTCGACTCGCTGCCCTTCCGTATTATGCGTCGGGACGCCGCATTCAAAGGGGGGGTGATGTCAGGGGAACCCGCGGCCTCCTTCGGACCCTCCGAACGCATCCGAGGCGCATCCGACCGGCGCCCCCTCGGACGCTCCGACCCCACCCGACCATCGTCCACGGCCTCCTTCGCCCGCACAATCACCGATCCGTCAAGACCCTCCCAACGATCACCTTGGGACAGAGCCTGCGACGCCGCTCAGGCCTTCTGCGCTCTACGTCGGCAGTTACGGACGACCAGTATATAGTTGGCGCCCTAGCAGGCGGACCCTTAGAGTTTCTTCTCTTTGGATCCTCCCCTGCTAGGTCGGTCCCTCCGTGTATTTCCCGTAGCTTTTATTCACGCTTTGGATCCTCCCCTGCTAGGCTTTCGTCGGAGTCTCCAGGGTTGCCCTTACAGAGGGCTGGCAAACCAATATCCTCAAGCGGCGCAGGAAACACGGCTGTTCGTGTCCATGCTGTAGCCGATTCCGACTCCGATGGACGGTGGGAAGAAAAATACCCACTTCGACTGCATTCCATGCCGGTACGTCCTTGCTGTCTGGGATAACATGTGGCTTGAATGGCTCCAGAATTACGAAGAAAACCAAAATGACTCTTTCTCGAGACGAATCATCGAGTAAGTTATTACCTCTATCTGGCATCTCGCTGATGAAGAAGCGGCAGCCTAAATACCTCAAGTTTTGTACCCCAGCGCCGGGAGGCCGCAAAGATGAAACAAACGACGCTGGATGGTGTAGCTGTTGAGGACTCAACATGGCGCCATCGCTCTCTGTCATCTTAGCAACAATTCAGCAACGATAGACTTGTTCAGCTGGCGCTACGTGCGTGATCTGTTTCCCAAAACTCATCTGGCTGACGCTTCGCAAAGCCAATCGATGCTTTCGAAAAGGAAACACTCGTCGATATGATGGAGATGGCTGCTCGAGCACCGGATGGCAGGATCAAGTTACGGGACGCACGATTGACACACCAGCATATCCTCGACAATTCGCTCAATATATCCGCGACACCCGCAAGGAACTAGCGGTAGATTTCCGTTGATTCCAATCAACATTGGCTCACTTACTGCAACAAAATGTACCAGCCTTGTTTGTGTCTCTCGACTGCGATTCCTGGAGTGCCCGGAATGGCGACAGCTTCAATGCCCACTTCAAAATAGTAGCTCGAGCACATGCGATCTGCATCGAGTTGGTCAAATCGCTGTCGCAGTCATCATACTTGGGCATCTTGCCCGAACCGCGAAACATGACCATCCAGTGATGAAGGACGGTGATGACAGTTCCAATATGACCTGCCTTGACTGCAATTCGGAGAACTCGCATAGTCAATGCATCGCGGTTGAAGAGAATAATATTCTCAAGTGGCACGTCACGTTCATGACTTGGTCGAGTGCGCAAACGGGACACCTCTCGCGCTGAGCACAACTTGCGATACACAATGAGCGCAATGTCTGTGACATCACCGAATGACTGAAGATCAGAGACCCAGTCTTCCAGTGAATGCTTCCCGCAGTGGACGCGGAATGCATCGAGGATATTGGCGTTTAGTGTGATGTCAAGGATGAGCTCGGTGATAGGGCGGAATGGAGGGAGTTTCTTTGCCGTCCAGCCTGCAGTGATAGGTTTGCGTGCAAGGAGAGTGTTGACGCGCCAGAGCGACCACGGAGAAGCATGGTTGGGAATTCCCCAATGTTCATTTGCAACACACCGAAACCCAGCCATCTTCGCATGAAAGAGACCAAGTTGGCCCTTCATGAACGAGCCGAAGTTCTCGGTCACGTCTTTGCTTTCTCGTCGGCTGCCAGAGGCCTAGGGCAGGATGAGGGGCATAAACGGAGATGAAAAGCCACATACCTTTAGCAGAAGGTCAATAGAGAGCTGGTCCCCGGCACCAAAAATGACACCGTGTTTCTGGAGGGCCTCCGTACTATCAAGTCCCAGAGTCTTGAGCATCTGGTCCAAGACCTGCATTGTCCCATCAATGGTAGACTCGTCAATGTGCATAGCTGGGAGTGGGTATTGCTCCGTTTGGTGAATGGGAATGGCAAAGTCGGTGGGGGGAGGGGTCAACTCATTCTTGAAACGCTCTTGCAGTGCCGGAAAATGTGAGATAAGAATGTCAGTCAAGTGCCATAGATGCGCCTCCTGCAATGCAGTACTGGTTTCGACCGATGGCAGGTAATCCTCGCTCAACTTGAAATCCAGGTCCGGAGTGCAGGTTGTGAGTGGTTTGATCAGTGTGAGGGGAAGATCGCCAGGCTTGACCCCGAACGCAGGGATCATTGAGCCCGTGGTGCCATTGTCAAAGTGGTCCTTCGAGTCGCTGCGCTGCTGACCAACTTTGAATGCAATATTAATGTTGTCCCAGATGATAAGGATGACACTACTCTGGACTATCTTCAGCATTTGCTTCAGGCGTTCAGCACCCATGTGTTTTGCCTTTTCAATAGTTGACGAGTACGAAAGGCATATGCCAGCATGGTGAAGAACATCAAATAGCGCCCGACTAGCAGACGACGCAAGCAGAAAGATAGACATGGTGAGTCGCATGCTTGATGCCTTTTCGTTCTGGCTGGAGCAGAGCATGGAGAAGATGGTGGCAAGAATCTACATTGGATTAGAGCCTAATCTAGACTTGCAGTGACGCACTACACGGTATTCTTTCCGTGATTCTTCACTCTCAATGTCCTCTGGCATTGCTCCTGCACTCCGAAGACCATGCCACAGTGTCGGCGCAAGATGCTCCGCATCTGCAAGCAGTTGGTCGACCGTAAATGTTTGTAACGTGTGCATAACATGCTCCCCAAAATTGGGCCGCAGAGTCTCTGCCAGTTTTGCGACTTCCTTCTGCAGCTTCTCAGCGTTAACTGACGCCATCCATTCCTCAACCAGCTGTGGTCGTCGTCCATGCAGATGGTCTAAGATTTCCTGCCCATGGTCATTCATAAGACGTGTTGCGGATGCCTTGTGTTGCTGATCCGTGGCCCCAAAGAGCGAGTCAATGAACTGATAGACAGTGTCGAAACCCGCCGCCTTTACACCGCGAATGGCGTTGTCCAGCTTCTGTGCTTCACTGGCTTGCGGGGCCGCCGTTGAAACGGTTGGAGGGACATTTTCCTTGAGAGCCTGGAGCATAGCGCGTTCTTCGGGGGTCTTATTAGGTGCCCGGTGACGTTTGGTGGGTGGATTGTCTGGCGTGAATGTGTATGCGCGCTTCATAACGGCAGAACGCGTCCTGGGACACGGTGTTACATGCTTGTCACAGCTCATGTGCTCTCGGATCAGACTACCCAAAAAGGTATATATTTTATTGCTCCCGCACTCTGCGACATCACGGCTAAATTGTACCAGCCTTTACTGAAGGTAATCCTGAAGTAAAAGCTGGTCCGAGCCTAGACATGGAGGTGAAGATTGGCACAGCCACAGCTTAACTGTAAGAAGCCGAATAATTGTCGACAGGTCTCTAGAGCACAGTCCATAACAAATTACTGCAAGGCTCAGCGCCCAGCGATAAGAGAATTCAGGTATATTGACGCTTTATCTAGTTAAATTAGGTAACTACTCTAAGCACAAACCAGTCCTCACTACCGCGGCGCAGCCCTCCTTACCTCCCGCTCAACCTCCCAAATCTCTTGCACGCCCTCACGAACAAAGACGACATTATATTCGAGCAGGCCTCTTCTGCCCTCGTAAACCGCTGTTGGCACCAGCGCGACCAGCGCGAGGTGGGGCGTGACGAGATGGTATGTGAGAGTTGTTCCCGGTGTCGATGGGTGCAGCGACGCGGCGGCAGAGGGGTAGAAGCAGGCTTGTTCGGGGAGAGGGTGAGGTGCTTTTGGTGGGAGAGGAGGTAGATGATGATGATGATGACGAAGGTGTGGACGGTGGGGAGGAATGGCCATTTGTACTTGCAGGCTCTTCAGGCAGTCGCAGTCGATTGTCGCGGGAGGTTGGCGTTCTGTTGACACGTGAGATTTTGAGCGTGTGTGTTATCATTGCTTACTGACCGATACAGTTGCCCGAAAGAGTTTAGCATGGCAAGATAGTCGCAACACAGATTATGAGTGGCAGAGTCGACGGGAGAGTTGTCGGTGGCCACATATAATCGGGACGCGATGTCGAAAAGGAACGCCTTCGGCGACTGCGAGTTCTAGACCACGCATTAGCCCAAATTCTGCTCGAAACGGGTCGCGTACGGCACAAAAGACGTTCACGAGATCTTCCAGAAACGGCAAAGGATGGATCAGCTTGTGGAGGACTTTCGAGAAAGCTTCATGTAGCCCGGTCGATAAGCGACTCATGAACACGTTCTTGTATCTGCCGGAAGTTTTCTGGGGGTGGGTTAGAGACCTTGAAAGCAAGAGGAAAATACAGACGCACCAATCTTGTCGTCTTCCTGAAACTTTTCTGACTTGTGCACGAAAACCTCCATAAAGATGGACGGGTTTTGCTGTTGTGCAGCCACAATGAACTCCACCAGCTTGTTTATGGGCTGCTTGAACACATCCTGAAAGAGCCTGAGTCCCTAAAGCACACAGAAAAACGGGAGGGGACTACACGAATATCAATGACGAATATAAGAGCCCCAAATTGCGACACAGTGGCGCGCCAAGTGTGTCGACGGTTATGTTCCCCGGGCAGTCCCAAATCTCGAGCGGAATAATCGTGCTGGAGACGTTCTGAGCGGCGAGAACTGGTGGGGGAGGAGACGCAGCTCACTCGTAAGGGTGCCGGTCAACGCGCATTGTCGTTTCGAGATGAAAAGTCTGCTTTGGCGGGAGCGCATTGAAAAGGACCTCTTTGATTGAAGATTTTCCTGCACGGCGCTGGCCAAGGAGAAGTATTTTCGTGCGTGTAGAAGGGGACGACGATGAACTCGGCGTTCGTACAAGGGCTGAGGTCGCGCCGTATGTGGACATGGGTGAAAGCAGATTCGGCTTTAACGTTAACGCCTGAGAACGGTCACATATCGCGTTCGGTCCGAGATCGGAGATGACGAAACCTTCTCCTTGCTTTCTCCCATGACCATTCGACCATGAACGTGCTGGAATGGTTGTGGGACGTTTCACTTCGTAAGCTCCTTCGCAATTCGATTCAAACTTTACTACAAGTAAGCGACATTTCCGTTATAAATAGTAATACTCGCGAGAAGCGTCCTCCTAGATGGCCATATACTTAGGTAGAGATTCCAAAGCTTCCTTCCCATACCCTTGCGCCTAAATCTTGGTCTCTCTAGCTGCTATGTGTATCGAAATGTTGTTCATAGGTTCGGCGATCACATTCGCACTGCGCGATGTAAAGTTGGGCAACGCATCGTGCGTCGAAAAGTCGAACATGTCCGCAAAGGTCATTATCCACAGTTTCATTGTCAGATGTGCGAAGGTCTTCCCCTTACACTATAGCAGAATTAGAAGCAGACCGCTTGCGGGAGGCGACGAACCATGTGAACTCCGTTTCCCCAGCAAAGTACCTTTGCTGCATCACTCTCGCCATTGCCCCCTGGCATGAAGCGATCAGCTTTGAAGACTCCGGGCTCTGGATAAATCTGGCCGTCAACATGCAACGGGCGAATGTCGAACATCATCATCTCGCCGCGGGTCATGTGGAACACGTCGCCGTTGTCCCGCGGCACTGTAACCTCGTCTAGTGCCACGCGTAAGCTCCCTGGTAGAGAGCAGAGGCGCAAGGTTTCTGACACGATTGAGTCTGCTAGTCGGAAATTTCTGGACAAGCCCTGTGGGTTGTAATCCAAATACCGGGCAAGGTCTCCGCCGAATGGTTCAAGCTCCTTGGTTATCTCCATGGCAAGACTGTTCAGTCCCCTCGAGTCTTTTGCGAGGTAAGTCATCATCCACCAAATACTCATTTGAAGATTCGAGTGAATGCTCCAGAATAGGCTGAGCATGCATGCTGCCTGGTCTATCTCGGGGAGTTGCGCCACCGACTCAAGAGCACTCTTCAACAGTTGTGGTTGATTATGATTATGATCCTCCGTTGAAGTCCGTCGTTCGACGTTCTTTCGAATATAGGCCAGCATAACGGCCAGTAACCGGCTGCGAGCTCGTTTTGCTGCGATTGCGGTGAATGCCAAAGGAGTAAACAGGATAAACACATCGCGATCCAGGGCCCTAAAGTCCTCGAGCGTGTTGATAGGAAATGACGGTCCGAAAAATATCGACGTCAAGGTTTCGTATAATGTCTTGCCGATTATTTCCGAGAGTACTAATGGATGGTCCTTGGCTTGGTTTAGGTCGCTGAAGCGACGACGAAGATTCTGGTGAAGCGGGCGAATGATCTCTTTTTCTATGTTTGATCTAGAGAGTTTGCGACCGAAAGACGGTAAGAAATGTTCATGCACGGATGGCGTGAGAAGCTCTCGTGCTCCGGTGCTTCCAAATGCTCGCAAGACACGGAAGTGCCCTTCTGTGTGGTCAAGCTCGCGAGCTCCATAGAAGGTCTTGTACGCGGCCAAGGACGACACAATGTACATCTTGCTAGTCCCACAATAGAACCGGAAAACTGGACCGTAAAGGTTCCTAAAAGCGTCTTAATATTTTAGGCTGGTCAACATATTGACGATCCACCTGCAGTTCTCTAAAAACCGCGTTCGACCACGAAAAAAGTCCAAGCTGTTTTTGAGTCCGAAAAGGAGGGTGTTGGCGAGACTGTTAACTTGCGGAACTCCATTATACGCCGTGACCTTTGTCGGAGGCAGACAAACAAAAGAGCAGAATGCGAGGAGACTGATCAGAGAGAGGATCAAGAGCTGAAGTTCAAACATGGTGAGGTACCAGTGACTGTGGCACAGAAGAGGCATTTATATTGACTTGTTTTTTTGTTGTGACTTGAAGAGAGACGCTCCGAGTCAACGTATCAGACACACACACACAGGCTTTGCGATCCAGGTTCCCGTTGAGGGCGGGTTCTCAACTTGGACAGCTCCACTGTTCAATACTCTTGAATCTGTTCATCTCAACAGCACCTTGGGACCTTCCCTTGTGCACGGTGCACCTGTGTTGGCGCCTTACGGTGAACTCGAATGCGATGTCAACTCTTCTGTGGCGGACATCAACGAACCCGAAGGCCACCGCATGGTTGGAGGACAGGTTCGCTTCTTGTTAGATACTCTCAGTCGATGCCAGCTCACGGGTCTCCATAGGCTGGTCGTGTTGATAGCCGCCCGAGGTACGACCAATGGCCCCGCACCGCACCATCATATCATGCCAGTTGTACTCGCCTTCCGACTCTTCGAAGCGGGAGAAGCACGACCTGTCGGTCCCGGTTGAGCTTGAACAAATCATAGGTAACAACTCCAAGTAAACTTGAAATTGAACCAAAGACCAAAGTGCCAGTGCATACGACTTTCTATTCGAAGACGAACATGGGGCGTACTAAAATTAGCATAGATCACAGGTCAGCTGAGCCGGGGGAGGAGTGGGTTTGGGCCAAGTTTTCGATGCTACTGCGGCCAATAACAAGACACGCTGCGGAGCCTAAAAGGGCCGCTGCGACACTGAAAAGAAACACAGTGTCGACCGAGTGAATATATGCGGCGAGCACTTGAGTCCGCACACTCGGGGGAAAACTGAATACAGCCTCTACATTGGCAAGGGCTGCATTCAGAGCGCTGACTTCAACTCCAGGAATATGGTTTAGCCGGTGTCGAAGTTGACCGGCAAAAATAGCACCAGCGACACTGCTCATATCATCAGTGTGCATAAATGCCAAGCGCGAGGATACGAACGCAAGGCCTACTGATGCACCCAAAGTTTGCGTGAATGTGACGACGGATGTCGCACGAGAAAGTAGAGCTTCCTCTGTTGCAAATTCAGCTTGAACAACCACCATCTATCGCGCTTAAGAGAAACTTTGAAGGAACTAGTGACATGGATCCACAAACGGTATTCTGGAGGGCCACGCCCAATCCGATTCCAAGAATCAGCTGGAAACCAATGATGCGACCAGTGGAAGAAAACTCGTTGAGCGTGTACAGCAATCCGGAGCCTAAAGCCGCAACAAGGGGTCCAACAAACAAGAACGGCCAGGGATGTCCCAGTTTCTACAGCGATGAGAAAAACACCCGAATGTGATTCAAGTTGGGAAGTTCGACTAACTGCGATGCAAACTCCCGATATTAACGCCGCTGAGAGACGTGATTGATAACCGTGTCACGGAGATATTCCTTACCGACAGTCCCAGAGCTATCCAATTCGGTCAGAATGGAAACAGCAACAAGTGCAAATTGAAACCCGCACATCATAAACGGAATGAGATCGATACCTGAACGAGTCGCAGAATGGCCGCGCAGCTGGTAAAGGAAGGGCTACCGATATCAACTAGATGATTCAGAGATTGGGTGACGACTTACAAGATAGTACTGTGAGTCGCCAACGTGAGAACAACGTCATCAGATTCACAAGTTGGTACTGACACTGGCCAAAATGAAACAAATGTTGATGAAGAACTAGTCCGGCTTCAGCGAGGTTTACAAGAGACGGATAACAAACGCACCCCTTCGAGGCACGATCCAAACATATTCCGTCGCCGAAACATGTGAAGTGGTAGTATTCCCGCCTCACCTTCTCGTAGTTCCCAGAGCAAAAATGCCAGGAAGAAAACAGCAGACTGAGAACGCTCAGAGATGCGCAAGCTTATGGCAAAAATCCTGACCAGGACAAGCAGCGAGATTACCTCCGGATCGCTCCATCGTTTGGTATTGCCGCCCCATTGAATAGGTATGAGGAAAAGTGTGACCATTCCGATGCTCAGAAGACCGCCGATCCAGTCTAGAGATAACCAGGTCTTGACTTGAGAACCCTCAATGCCTGATGGTTGAATTGGAGGCAACGCTGCAAGGATGGTTGCAAATGCGACGCCGCCGATCTATTATGAGGTAATCAAGTCTGAACTCTTCCGAGAGTTTGCGCCAAACCGGTAAGTTGATGTCTGGCCCACATTATTAGCATCAACATAAAAGGCCAACGCGACATTGACTTACAAAAACACCAGCTGTGGGAAAAGTTAGCATCAAATATACAGACGGGTTATTTGTCTTACCGCCATGAAACGTGATCTACAAAAATCATCGTTAACAGCAGGGTGTGGTTAGACAAATATTCATGCACCAGTGAAAGCACCTCCGATGAGAGGACCAACAATTGAGGCGATCGCGTATACGGCTCCGAAAACACCCATGAATACGGGCCGCTGTCGAAGAGTCGTCACCTGGAATTGATTGGGGTAAAATGTTCAGTGTTTTGTTGAGATGAAGAGTTACCTTGGCGATAATGAACATGACTGAGACCATGAGTCCTGAGGCGCCGACGCCTGCCACTACCCTCCCTGCAATGAGGACATTGACAGAAGGGGCTACAGCACACAATAGACTTCCAGCTTCAAAGATGCCGATAACCAAAAGCAGAACCGCTTTCGCCGGCGCCATGCCCAAGATGCGACCGAAAAATAGCATTAACCCTGCCTGAAAATGACTGAGCCATGCGAGTAGCTCCATGGAAAAAGGCTTGCCTGAGGCAGAAAATATGCACTTGGTATCCAGGATAAATCTGAAATCGCCTCGAAATGCGAAGCAATCTTGGGGAGAGCTGTTGAAAGGATAGTTTGGTCCAACGCGGTCAATGAGAAAGCAAGCATGAACGCCCTTTCAGGTATGAGCTTGTAGAAATGCCATGGCTAATAGCTTAGAAAATACATACACAAAAGTCGAGATGAGCTTCGGCGACGTTAACTTGACGCTTGCTTCTCCATGTTGGTCACGGTCTTTTGGAGAGTTGGAGGTTTGGGCCTCAAGCTTTGGTTCGTTCAAGGAGGACATGGAGGGTCGGAGATGAGCCCAATAATAGAAAATAATGCTCTCGCCATCATGAATAAATGCAGAGTAAAGGCTTCTGTAGACGCCGTGACATCTCTCCATCAATGTTCGTTTCTTTTCGGCAAACCATCACTGAAAATGGCTTTGCCGCTTTGAACCCTGTCTCGACTTCTTCTTCCTCCTGCATCTATCAGAAGGCTGTTTCCTGCTGTGCCGACCCTCGTGTTCTGCTCAAGGGGGGCGATTGACGTTGAGATCATATAACGGCCAAAGATGACTCTTTCATCGCGACTATGGCTTCAAGCAATTTCCACTTCTCCATGCTCTATGGCGGCGATGACCGTCTCACCGCTACCGCTCGGCACCAGCGCTATCTTTTTTCGAAACTTGCGCTCAAACCGGGCATGCGTGTGTTGGAAGTTGGCTGCGGTGTAGGGGACGCATGCTTTGAGCTTTTGCATTTTATGAATGTTTCTGTTGTTGGGATTGATCTGGACTCGGACAAGGTAGGCCGGGCTCCTACTTGGAGGTATAGAGATTTACCACGAGCCCTTCAGATTAATGCGGCCTCTATGAGAGCTCTCAACGGTCGTGTTGGAGGTCGAGCCGAGTTTCGTTGCGGTCCGTGCATTCTCACCGCTTGAGCTAGCATTGCGCTTAATTTAGATAGCGGACTTATACCAACTGGAGTCCGAATTCGGCGCGGGATCTTTTGACGCGATTTACAGTATCGAATCTCTCAAGGTATGCACTAGTGGGCCTGTCGCCGCGATTATCTAACAATCGAATTCTTTGCCTGGCCCAGCATTGTGCGAGCTTTCGAATTTCGTATTCCACCTTGGGACGTTTATTGCGTCCAGGAGGCATGGTAACTTCGACCCGATGTTTGTTGATTCACGACTTACGCTTTTGGCAGCTCGGAATTTACGAGTGGTGCTGGACAGCAAGCATGAACCCACTCGATATCACTCATATCCAATTGGCAGAACTTTTCGAAGAGCAGACCCAGATCGGTCACCGAAGTATCTTTGACCGTCGTATTGACTGTGCCACACAAACTGTTCAGGACACTGGAGTCCTAAAGTTGGCATATATCGAAGATCTCGCCAATCGTCGCTCGACATCGGCTTGGTATGCGCCATTGGAGCGAGCCTTGGGCCAATCGGCGACTGTGTGGAGCTCCGATGCTGACGGCGAAGGTGCCTTCGGGGATCTAACAAGAAGTGCTGCTGTCTTCATAGCCCAAGCAGGGCGTCTGAAAGTGAGTGTGCGGTGGCGATCTAAATTAACATCATTCACATTCACAAATAGCTGTTTAGTCCCATGATTCTTGTGGTGGCCTGTCATCTTTGATAGAGAATCCCGTGTACCTGCCCCCATGAATGAATCATGATGTAGATAGCAGTCCAAATTTGGAACACCGATGATATCTCCGAGTCACACTGCACTGGAGAATGGATAAAACTGGAGACCCTCTCTGATTCTCAGTAACCAGAATGTCGGCACCTGCTCCAAGTAACCCTGCTGCCATTGCAGATGCCCTTGAATCAATTTATAATGGAATGGCCATTACCCGGATGGAAAATTGTGCACAAAGTATGTACTGTCGCGACGTCAGTTTTGCTATATCTTATGTTAAACATAGTTGCCTCCATCACTTTTCTGGTCTATGATATTCTACTCAAGTTTGATGATGAGGAAAGTTGAAGTATATTCCCCAAACTTGCTAGGTTACTGACACAAATACAGTTTGACTATGTTTGGAAGTATGCACAATATCATTATTATTATTATTATCATGGTTGATAGCTGACGATTGCTAACTTATGGACAGAAGTAAAATGTCTTCAATCAAATTACTCTACTTCTTTGCACGTTACTATGGGGTGCTCTACAATCTGTATGCACAATATATCCATTTATCCCAGCAATTATATATTGATCTTCTTGCAGCAGTGTTTTTATTGGTACAATGATTTCCTCTTGGCTCAGGTTTAATGTTAATACAAATATAGTCACTAATATTGTTGGCCTATCTCTCCAGGTATGTAATTCTTTATGGACAAATAGATATCTAATAAGTTTACAAAGTTGTGGGTCATTCTGCATGCTTGGTTATGTAAAGCTATAATATCTTTCCAGCTGCTCAAACTGGTTTTGGTTTGTGATCCTGTAAGTGTAAATTGATTAGTCAGATTGAAGACTGACAACAATAATAATAGGGGTGGAGATATTCTTTTTACTAGCATGGTTAACATTATTCTGGTGCTCCGGATCAATGCCATGTATCTGCGAAGTCAAAAAAGTAAGAATTTTGCTTTTGCAAGAAATACAATTCTAATCACAATTTCAACAGTTCTGTGGTTTTTGGTTTTACTGCTTATAGGTAAGAATATAAACTAGAGACAAATATCTTCTTACATAAGTTGCATCTTATAGTGCAATTTGGAGTAAGTCCAAGTAAATGATTTATCAATTGTCTATAACAATTAAATAGTTAGAGCTATATTCAAGTGTGGATATTGCCACAAAGACTGCTACAAGTGTATTCCCTGCTCCTTTGGGTTTGCCTTGGCCAGGATGCTTTGCATTTCCAGATATCAAAGTCAGCCTTTTTAGTTGGTAAGTCTCTTAAACCAAAGAAAAATCCTTAGAATTGATGTTTATCTCAGGATACCTGATGCTATCATTGCCAGCAAGTTATTCCTTATCATATAATATGGAAATGGCTGATATATTGATAACAGCAATCTTCTTTTTGATGACTATTGCAACACTCTTTCGCAATGCTAGCTTCCAACTTGCTGACTTCAAGTCACTTAAACGAATTTCTCCTCTTTTTATTTCATTCATCAGAGATGGACTGATCTTCTACTTTTTGTAAGTTGCCATATCAAGGTTGTTTGATGACTCATCATGATTTAATTATCATAGCATTTTTGGTAATTTTTTTTTCTGTCAATAGGAAAACAAAATGATGGCAACTTTAGCAATTCTGCTCACTGACATGTTCATGAACCTGCTCTACAAAAATTCTTTTGCTAACTTCCTTGGAGGGTAAGACAAATGCCACAGATCCAGGGATAACTTGAGAATACTGACCCAAATGTTAGATGGCTTATTGCTATTTACTCAATTGCGGTGGGTCTCTTCTCTCACTCAAATTGCAAAATCCTTCTCAACGAGTGATTATAGGCCACGCGCCTCATTCTCAACTTGCGCAAGACCTCGCAGCTTCCACTCGAAGAGTCTGTTATATTGCACACTCTCAGCCACAGCAATGATCGTGAACGTGAACATCATATCCCTGCGAGTGTGGGCTCCATTGTCTTTGCAGAGTTCTAATATATATACGAACAAATTTTGAAGCGACACGTATACAGCTACAAGTACGAGCAATGTACTTATTTCTATGTTTTAGTAGTTCAGTCCCGTTTCGTGATTTTGACTGGGACTTCTCCCACCCCGAACGCGGTACCAAACATGCTCGCGCCGCTTAGAATACGATCCAGAGCAGTTTGCTGCGTCTCCCCCGCGTGCAAGACTGTTTCAACTTGCCAGTCTCGAAGAAAGTGGGCGAGAAATGTCACTGCCTCGGTCTGAGCAAAACGACGTCCCACGCATGAGCGCGGGCCCGCTCCAAACATAATGACATCTTCCTTCAAGTCGGGGGAGAGCCAGCGCGCAGGGTTGAATGATTCTGGTGCGGGGAAGTCGTGTGGGTTATGACCTGAACAAAGTGAGTCAGCCAGGATGTCGCAATAAGAAGGTAACGAGACGGACAGACTGCCATGATATCAATCATGACGCGGGAGCCTTTGCGAATGATGATATCTTGTTCGGTTGGAAGCATGGTGCGCAAAACGATATCTTCGGGTACATCGCGAGGCAGATTGATTGTCGCGGCTACGTTCCATGTCAGACCACCACCAGCTGGAACAAACGTGGTCACTTACGAACAAGGCGATGGGCTTCGTGCATACAAGCAAGCAGATATTTGAGGCCAGAAACATTCCGCAAGGTCTACAAAAGATAAGGCTTGGTAAGTCATATGTGGAATATCTGTAAGCACTATTTCTTCTCTCGAGGGAACTTCTCTCAAGATTTCTTCGTATGCAGTCTGTTGCTGGTCTGGGTGAAGACCCAGAAACACCAAGGTCGACATCAACACGCTGCTTGTGGTTTCTGTGTCTGTCAATCGAGGAAATGTAGACGATAATGCACTGCACCATTGCCCGCAAAGAGAAGCGACATCATGTCCCCCGTCTGCAGACAGTTTAGTGGTAGGAAAGACCACGACGTAGTTAGTATCATGTGCTCACCACTTCGGCCGGCGTCAGTGTGTACCGCGAAGCTTCCTCGGTGGACGACACTAGCTTCGTGAAGAGATCTGTGATTTCGCTGTCTCCGAGCTCCTTGAGCGTCGAATACTGAACCTGCCTTCCTGCGGCGAGGGATGCTATCAGCGTGAGCACTGTCGTCCAAGACTCGTCAATTTCTCTGAGCCTGATCAAAGTCAGCCATATTGAATAGCCAGGGAAACATCCAACCGTTGTACAGGCAGCCGCCAGACCCAGTTCGGAAAGATAAGACGATGAATAAGGGTCGTGGAAGCAATTGAGAGAGCACGGTCGAAAATTGCTACTTCATCGTTCGCTGTGCTCGGCTTCCAATCAACAGACATTCCAAACCCACAGCGACAGATCATAACGAGGGTGAACTACACATCGATAAGATAACCCGTAAATGTCGATAGGAAAAACCTACCCTCAACAATAAGGAATGTAAATCTGTGACAACTCCGTTCGGTGTCAGGTCTTTACACATTTTCTGATAGACTAAAGCAGACTCATCCACAACACGCGAGAGCCTGCCGAGATGAACATCACCGCGTTGAAAGTCAAGAATAAACCGAGGCGCACATATTGGATGAGATGGCGGGAGCAACCACACGACGATGTCGTTTCCAGTCCTCACCGTTGGCCAAAGCAATGCTACTGCCCCAGACTCTGTAAATGGAGCGTGAGTTGAAGAAAATCTTAATATAAATACTGACGCCTCCGTGGTAAAATCGCTGGGTTTGACGAGATGGGTCTTGCCCTCATTGCCCCATATCTGCCTAGCCATACCCACTGATGCCGCAATATACATGCTATTACCCGCCAAGATGGGTATGATGGTAGTGAGATCATAGGTATGGTTGAAATGAGCTTCAAGTTGAAATTATCAGCATCACGAGGTCTTTTTTAGGCCGGACGGACTGACCATGTTTTCGTTGAATCCATGGCCACATGAAACCCATGTGCCACCAATTTGCTGGAATCGCATTTCCGGGAAGCGAATGAGGGTCGAGTAGTGGACGGTATCCTTTCACATAACCATGGAACTGAGATGGTATTAGCAAACAGAGGTGGTAAGATGACGAACTTATGCTGAGCTGCTTCAGGAAACGTACGAGACGGTAGGCAAAAAACAACGTGCCAATGCAAAGAGGCAAAGGCAACATGGTGTGTAGAGGTGGTGGTTCGATGTTAACAGCAGTTCCGCGTTTGTTCGTGTGAATGGAATGGAAGCGGTGATACGCAGGTCGAAGGTTATTTTGGTCGCAGATCACTAGGAAAGCGAACACACAATGCTACACAATGCCAGTGAACAAAGTTCAAGTATATCATCATGATGATTGCAAGGTTACCATTGTACAAACCTCGTCAAACTCCGAATCATTCAAACAATATCGCCGGATACCGCGACGGGCCATTGTTCAAAGGAAAGTCGCTTAATTCTTTTATTGCGCAAATAGACGTCTAGTTCTTGAAGATGTCAAATTTGAAGATTAATGCTATTTTCTGCGTAAGCCAGCATCTCCGATTCATTTGAAGTTTGAACTGTCGACAGCCGCTAGGACGGCCACAGCTTCGGTGGACGGTCAGAGAAGAAAACACGAGGATGGAAACAGCTACACACGATGCATGCAGCTTGGATGCAGTCTCGACAGACAGACATTGGCTATAGGCTACGCAAGGGGCCAACACGTCGGGGGCGTGACTAGTTTCAGAAATTTCTGTGACCGTCGTTAAGGACCCGTGCGAGTCCCTATTAAGGTAGGATACCGAAATCCGGACAAATTTTTGAAATCTTTGATGGAGGTCTGACCAAAATTGTAAGGGCAACCCCGGAGGCCTGAGATCAAGGTCCTAGCAGGGGAGGATCCAAAGAGTGAATAGAAGTAAGCAAATACAAGTGAGGCTGACCTAGCAGGGGAGGATCCAAAGAGAAGAAACTCTAAGGGTCCGCCTGCTAGGTAGCGGAACTATATACTGCGCTCTTGACGTGCCAAGGTTGATCGTTGCTCCGTGCAGTATGCCTGCGCCATGTTGCAGGCCAGGTCCCAGGGGGATCGCCAGGCGGGGGCGGCGATGCGCCTGACGGAGGCGGTGATGCGATCACCGGAGTCGGAACCGGAGTCGGACCGGAATCGGAATCGTCTCCGAGGGGCCGAAAGGGAGGTTCCCCTGACAAAAATCCGGACAGAATTTCAGCCAAAACCGGACATCTTTGATCTAAAATCCGGACAAGACCATAGACAATGTCTGAGGTTTGAAGCGCAAATCCGGACAAAAGCACATATGAAACAGGATTTGGACTCTTGAGTCTTGACTATGAGACTTGAGGTCATTCACTACTTTAAGTACTTTAGTTTCTAATATACCCATGACAACCAACGATCAGGCTGAAAATATCCGGCAGAGACTGTTTTACTTGATTTTCCGCATTTCTACCTACTTAAAGGCTACTTTTAGGGTGATAGGGAAAAAAATTGAGGTTGAAGCGGAATCTGGACAAATTCTTTGGATTTTCGGTATGTCTGATCCAAATCCGGACAAGAAAGGCCCAGCCCGATGTCCAAAAAATCCGGACAAATTTTGGCCAGGATGATTTTCAGAATCCTACCTCAATAGGGATTCGCACAGGTCCTCCGCCGTTGCCAACGACTTCGACAAAAGACAATGATGATGTCCAATGGTCTTCGTGCCAGTCATTCGGCTTTAAGGCTGCAAGAGCTGCTTTTATCTGCTAAAACCTGCTCAAGATACTATGACCCACCTACGTCAGTTCTCCAAACCTCTTCGGCTGCCATCCAGAGCTAAGAGCTTTAAATGAAGTTTATCTGGACCTGATGTTCAGCCCAGACAACAGTAAACCCACGCGGATGCTGCCATTTGGAGCGAGCTGTGAACCGATCGAGACTGAGACCCCCTCTCCCTACTTTTTCCTCATCCGACCCACAAACTCGCATGAGTCCCCCACTGTACACCGTTCTACAGCGTCGTTCTTTGCAGCATCCCATTATTTTCTTTCTCATATTCCTCGCCCTCTTCTGGTTTGCCCCCCACATGCGTAATGTCGTCTTCGATGCCCAGCATTTGACCAAAGATCGCGTTTAAACTCGCTGCAGGACGGGCCACAGTAACTCACATGCAAATATATACCCACACCCACTGGACAACGCGTACCTTCACTCACCGCGAGTATTCGACTGTCTTTCTGGGACCAGCCGAGATCCCCGCCTCAACTTGCTCACCTCCAGCTCGCCCAACCGTGCTCGGCGAGCATAATTTTCGATCTGATGGACTGCTCGAAGTCAATCCCGCCACCCCACATCCTATTGTCTCTCTTGTCGCGCGAGTGCAACTCGAATGGGACACTAAACTTGCTTCTGTGAGTAAAACTCTCTGGCAAGCTGTTGCAGAATACACACGACGGTACAACAGGCCCCCTCCACAAGGCTTTGATGTTTGGTGGGGCTACGTGGTAGCAAACAGAGTCCAGCTTCCTGACGAGTATGACCCAATCGACCGCGACTTTGTCAGGGGAACCCCCGCTTCGGCCTCCTTCGGACCCTCTGAACGCATCCGAGGCGCATCCGACCGGCGTCCCTTCAGACGCTCTGACCTGCCCCGACCATCGTCCACGGCCTCCTTCGCCCGCACAATCACCAATCCGTCAAGACCCTCCCAACGATCACCTTGGGACACGGCCTGCGACGCCACACAGGCCTTCTGCACTCTACGTCGGCAGTTACGGACGACTAGTATATAGTTGGCGCCCTAGCAGGCGGACCCTTAGAGTTTCTTCTCTCTGGGTACCTCCGGCTCCCGTCCCTATGGAGCTGGATCGTACTAGGGCTCGGGGTGCCCCTCGTCGAGCCTGCTTCAGATGCGGCGACCCCAATCATTTGGCTCGGGATTGTCCGCTCCCCGCCGACGTCTGCCATGTGGACATCCTCGACGAGGTAATCCAGCAACTTGGCAATGAGATGCTGGGAGAGCTGCTCGCCTGGCTGTCTGACACTGCGGCCTTAGCGGAGGCGCATTCGGAGGCTCCGGCAGTGGATTTTGTCCCCCGCGACAAGTGACTGGTGTGCCCTCATTCGCATCCATAAATCGTTTCACCTGTTTGTATGATGAATCAACTCCCTTGCCCTACAACGAGCCTGAAACGAAAGACGCACCCTCTGCCCCCTCCGAAGCCCCCGTTCGGATTCGCCGACTTGCCTAGGAGAAAAAGCTACCTGACAGTTATACCATCTCTGCCGCTCCTGGCGTTAACTCGCTACACCTTCCCCTCGAACTTGAGTCCACTGCGAACGCGCTCAAGCTCTCCCTCTCAGGTCTGGTCGACTGCGGAGCTACTTCGGACTTTATCGACACAGAATACGTCAACCGGAATAATGTGCCAGTCCGAAATCTGTTTGTACACATCCCGGTCTACAACGTCGACGGCACCCCCAATGATGCTGGGTCTATTCGCCAAATCGCGGACCTTGTTCTACGGTACAACGGACACTCCGAACGCGTTCAGCTGGCTGTAACCCACCTTGGGAAACAGGACCTGATACTCGGATACTCCTGGCTCAAAAAGCATAACCCCGAAATCAACTGGGAAACGAAGGAGGTGAAAATGAGTCGTTGCCCCCGCAGCTGCTCTACCTGCTGTGATGAAGAGCGGACCGAACGCGTTGAGGTTCGGCGGCTCCGACTCCTTAAATCATAACTACTTGTGGGCGCCTTCCCCACTGTTTGCGCTATCAATATCGCTGGCCCGGATGATGCTGACGACGAACTCGGAGCTGCTTCGGACCCTCCGGAGCCCTCACCAGACCTCGACGACGACGAGCATCTTGAAGACGGCGACCGCATCTTCTACACCTCTTTCCGCCCAGTCGAGGAGATCCGCGCTGGCAGTACAGTGTCCCAACGCCTTGCAGAGGCCTTCGCCTGTAACTCGGCCCCTCTGCCTTCGGAGATTCCGGATTGGGCCAAGGAGTTCCAAGACGTCTTCGACAAGGAGTCCTTCGACACGTTACCAGAACAAAGGGCTTGGGACCACGCCATCGAACTCGTTCCCGACGCGAAGCCCGCTAACTGCAAGGTGTATCCGATCTCTCCCCTCGAACAGCGCAAACTTGACGAGTTCATCGAGGAAGGACTTGCCACAGGCCGTATTCGCCCTTCGAAATCTCCGATGGCCTCCCCCGTCTTCTTCGTTAAGAAAAAGGACGGAGGGCTTCGGTTTGTCCAGGACTACCGTGCCCTCAACGCAATGTCAATTAAGAACCGGTACCCCCTTCCGTTGATTAACGACCTTATCAACAGGCTCAAGGATGCCCGTTACTTCACTTCACCAAACTCGATGTTCGCTGGGGCTTTAATAACGTCCGGATTAAAGAAGGAGACGAGTGGAAGGCGGCCTTTCGGACTAACCGAGGGTTGTTCGAACCTTTGGTGATGTATTTCGGCCTGACAAACTTCCCCACGACGTTCCAGACAATGATGAATGACATTTTCCAGGATCTCATTCTTTCAGGCGACGTTATGATCTACCTTGACGACATCCTTATTGCACATTCGGACCTCCGCAAGCACCGCGAGATTGTCCGGGAGGTCCTTCGGCAGCTCCGAATGCACAAGTTGTACCTTCGCAAGGAAAAGTGCGACTTCGAGAAATCGTCAATCGAGTACTTGGGGGTCATTATCTCACACAACCATGTCGAAATGGATCCTGTTAAGGTCGCCAGAGTTTCCGCATGGCCTCCGCCCGAGAACAAGAAGGACATTCAGCAGTTCCTGGGGTTTGCTAATTTCTACCGCAGGTTCATTCGAGATTTCTTGGCCCTAGCGCAACCTCTCTTCGTGCTTACCAAGAAAGACCAGAAATGGACCTGGGGAGACACCGAAGCCGCCGCCTTTCAAGCCATCAAGGACGTGGTCGTATCAGAGCCCGTCTGTGACGCTGTCGTTCGAAGAGCTTACGCGGGGTGGAAGCGAAGAGTTCGGAGTATCGATAAGGGGATTGGACAGCCATTGGAATCCAATGGCTGCCCGATGGATGACCCATAGCCTACGGCGGGAGGGAGCAGGGAAGCGTACTCAGGCAGTCGGGACAGGTCCATGAGAAGTAGGAAAGACGAGACACAAGAGAAAAGAGGACTTGGTTAAGATTGCTGCTGCGTGACTTTGGTCACGACTGATGTTACAAGACTTGTGACTACTTGAGATCATGTGAGTGATTCTATCTGATAACGCCTGATAATGCTTTGCGACGGTTCTGAGTCGTCCAGCCGGTAGTATACCCATCACAGAGCCCCCCACAACGAAGAGTCGTTCATGCGTTTCCATCTCGGATCCGGCCAAGTACCGCGGCTGCCCAAGGCGCCGAAGCCGCAATACCCTCCAACGTAAGCTGTGATTTGGATTCATCTACCTCCGCCACGGGTGTACCTCCATTGCCACGCCCTCGTCTGATGGATCTTCGATAGGCTGCGCCTCTTGCGTAGGAGTTTCGAAGGCTGAGTTGAACCAGGGATGAGTGCCCAGCTGAGTTACCACCCCATTAACGATTATTTGGCTCACCACAACCGGGACTGGCAACATGGGTGCGTCAGACGAAAGCGTAGGTGGAGAAAGTGTAGCTTCGGGCTCGATTGGGGGTATGGTCGCCGGGTCCTGGCTTGATTCCCTCAAGCTGTCCAGGAAGGCCGTCACTTCCTCGGTGCTGGGCTCAGACGACGGCGGAGGCAAGGGAGGAGCGAAGTCTGACGGAATCCGCAAAACCTCTACATCCTCATGACCCGCCGTCGTCAAGGTATGCGCGCCTAGCATGAAGGAAGTTTGGCCATCCGCCAATGCTACGTCATCCTCTCCAGCAGGCGCTTCGTTAACTGTCGCCGAAGGAGGCACTACGTTGAGGGTGATCTCGTAGGCCCCTAGTGCGAAAGGACCCAAGTTGGCTCCGCGACCCAGACGTATCTCTCTTTCAACTCGACGACGCTCATCTCTTCGCAGCTTACTCGGGTTATGTTTGGACCTCTTTCGGATTCTCTCCTCCAGGCGTACTCCCAGTCTAGCGGCTAGCGTAATGTCGGTGCCGGGAACCTCCTCGACGTCCATAGCTGAGCTGGTCGCGTCTTCTGTGGACGGAAGGGGGTTACTAATCAGTGCTGGCGACGGTATCGGAACGTTCATTGGGGACTCCGTCTGAGGAGTTGATGGGGGTACTTGCTGTGGACTCATATTGGGAATTGCGGCCACGGGGAATACCGAGGAAGCCGGGGGCAACAAGTGCAGCACAGAGCTTGAGGTAGTTGGCGCACTGGGGATCGTGGCAGAGTTGGTTTGCACGAGAGATGCTTTCCTATCCGCTTTGCGGCGGAGCCTTCGTTCCCTAACCTGGCGGGATTCCAACCGGTTGAACGTATCAGTGATGGAGCCTGTCATGCTGTCGAAGCCTGCTCGATCCAAATAGTTGATGGAGACCCATTGCATTTCTCGCTCCAGGAATCCTAGAGCTCTCCTTGTGTCCGATATTGACCCCATTTCCAGTATGACGCTATTCCCAGCAAGCAGCACCAATACGATGTCGGCCACATTCCTTAAGATATCGGCCATGCCACGTGCGGTAAGCTCATGTAAGCGTGGCGATGACCTTCCAAATTAGGACGGATTGCGTCCTTTGGCGTGGTTAAGACGTCGCAAGGACAGAAACTGATCCCATTATGGTTTAGAGTTGTAGACAAATATTTAAGATAGGACAAAATAATATTTTTGTATGATCTAAGCCTCGGGATTTCCACCTGCCCGGATGCCGGCGGCCTTCAGGTCCGCCAAGTATTCTGGAGGCAAACCCCGGTGCCCCTTGTACTTGCGGCACGCCCACGCGGCCTGTGCACCATCAAGACCCTTGCAATAAGCATCTGCAAAGCGCCCGCATCTCTGCACGAATTTCCGAATTGAATGCAACGGCACGGAATCCAGCGCCTCAAGCGCATTCTTCTCCAGGTCATCTTCCCGACCTGACTCCGGCTTGAGACGATACACGCGCTTGGCATAGCCCCAGCACATCTCGATGGGATTTAGTTCAGGATGGAAACGGGGGAGGAAGAGGACGGTGACTCCAAAGGACAAGCAGGTTGATTCAAGGCATGACTTGACTTCTGCGAAGTCAGGCTGGTTAAAGAGCATCCGCCGCATGCAGCAGGTGTGGGATTTGGGGTCAGAGCATTTGAAAGCCTTGCCATCAGCACTCTTGCATTCGGCACGGAGTTTGGAAAGTGACTCTTTTGTGATTGATGGAGCGATGTCGCGGAGGTCTCCACGCTCCCGTCTTTCCTCCAGAATCATCGCCATCCCCTTAAACTTGCCTGCATACTCGGGGTGTGAGTCAGGCAGGTATAAGTCCTGGACGGTGCCATCCTTGAACCGCGCTCCTGTCATGCGCTCCTCGACTTTGACTGGGTTCCCATGTTCGTCAAAACGAACAGAACCATCCAGGTTGCGAGCATTGACCTTCACCAGGAAGTTGCTTTCCTCTGGCGGCTTCCGCGGCTTCCGTTTCTTCTTCTCTCCCACTTCTGGTGCTGGTGCAGGCAGCCCAGGCTCATCCACCTCCATTTCATTCAGGTCCTCTGCTGCTGTGGCCTGCTTTGCAGCCATATCAGCCTTGCGTTTTTTGGTAGCCTCGGAAACAAAGCCTGAGATCTTCTGGGGCATCCCGCGAGCAGTCAAAGCAGCCTCGCTTCGTTTATGGTGCGTTGAAGCGTTGTCGTAGACGAAGATATGCTCAAAGTCTGGCCAGTTGTTGACGACAATAGAGCAGGCTGCCGTTGCCTGGTCTTCCACTTCAACGCCGGTGAAGTAACCATCTTTATTCTTCCCTGGCCGCATCGTGCGCCGCGCCGACTCTCCGTTAGTTCCTCGCAACCACCCAAAATCAGCCGACACATAGTCTGCCACCATCCACGCATGACCATCACCTTTCTGATATGGTTTCGCGCTGGATTCACGAAGTCGCCAAGCCTTCTTGCGCCCGGTCGTGCGCATAGAAGATACTTTCGTCATGATACCAAATCACGACGCGGACAGGCTTGTCTGTGGGCAGCTGAGGCAGCACCAGTGTCCCATCGTCCTCATAATATGCCGTGCGATCAGTGAACGCGCGGAGCTTCGGAAGATACTCTTCATTTCGATACTGGACAACATCTTCCCGCTCGTGGCCGTCAGCGTATTGCCCTTTCTTGGCTTGCGAAAAGCTGTCACATGTCAGCCCACACGGTCTCTGCTCAATCTGTGCACATACGAGTACCCCAACTCATCCAAGTACCGACGCGCTGTCCTTTCACTGATTGGCTCCTCAAGACCGTGTCTCTCCATCACATCCGACCGTGACATATATTGGACAACTTTTGCCGCTGTGATATGCACATCACCCAGCTCCCGGAGGTACGATCGGAGGTCGGTGGCTAGATCCTCATCGGTCACCTTGGAAGCTGTCCACCCGCCATACGGGTTGATAGGCAATACCTTGCCCGACTCAATGAACTTCGCGGGCGAGCTGTGCAAATCTCCGAGCACAATATACTCCTCGACCAACTGTTCGTGCTGCCACAAGTGCCGAATTACGCCAATTCTGGAAAGTGGATGTCGAGCTGGGATTTGTAAACAGCGACAGCATGGTGCGAATGCCGTTCATTCGTGTCCGTGTCCATTCGTCGAAGTCGGGGGCCTTATAACCCTTGCTCTTGGGCCCCCTCTTCTCGCCACGCATCAGCCGGTTTAGCTGGTGCAGTGCAGTTGATGCGCGGGTAGCATTGGGTACAGTGAACTTCAGACGTCGGCGGTCTGCCTCATTCATTTTTGCTTGGAAGTCGGTAGGGGGGAGCGGACGGGGGATATCACTACGGACATTAATGTATTTTCCGCCCCAGAAAATGCACAGAAAATTTGAAATTTTCTGAAGATCTTCTGAAGATTTTCCGAGAATTTTTCTGTCACGGAAAATTTGGAATTTTCCATCAATCTTCTGAGAATCTTCTGGAAATTTTCCGCATCAGAAAATTCCTAATCTTCTTCCACAGAAAAATTTCAGAAAATGTAGCCCTCAGATCTGTGATCCGACCAATGACATTTTCTCCAGCATATAATTTGGCCATCAAGGCGATCAGTCGGACCCCTCTCTGTTTTGTCCCAGACAGCCCGTCACCATGTCGAGCCCTCGTCCTGTGTTAGCAAGGCCAACGAGTGGCTAGTGTAAGTCTAGTGAGTGATAGTGGGCCTCTCACTGCCTGGCTCAGCAATCAATGCCGCCCTCAATGCTTGCACTGCGCATCTAGAATCGCATGTCCGTGCTGGCCGCCGTTTACAGAGTTGTTGGCCCGTTCCGCGGTCGTCAGGTTGGTCCTTCTGCTCATCATTAACTGCGTTACTAACCGCCATTTCAAGTCGTGTCGATTTGATGTGTCCCGGGGCGGCCACCTTACTTCGACACTGATACTGGTCATGGCGACGCAAACCAAGTCGCCTCAGGCGGTCTTCTGCGCTCATTGGCGGTGGCCCAAGCCCGACCGGATCCAGACGAAGCTCTCTCCCAATTGGGCTGAAGATACCGGTGCGGATCACTCAAGCGCAGGAGGGGCTGAAGCGCGATTTGGGGATGGTCCGGGAGTTTGCGAATGTTGTCGAAGGTGTGTATGATCGTCGTTTCTTGCTTTGAGAGGCTGATTCATTGTGATAGAATTACAAGTCTTGCAGATGACATATACCACACTTATTGACAGCCTCACGGACAGTCTTACGACCGTGCCAGACGAACCAGAAGCTGACGACCGATCTCATCGGTATAGTCGGCTCTCCAACTTCCCCCTTCTACCCCGGCGACGATCTCGATCGAGGTCCTCCGCCAGCACCCAGCCCCCGATTCCTGCAGTAGTCCAGCAACGACGAGCGTTAGAGGGCATTTGCGAGCAGTACCGCGTTGTGTGGGAGTGTGCGGCGCTGCTCGTGGAGCTGGGCAGAAGTGGTGCTGATGACTGAGGAGGAGCATAACACGAAATCGGTCGGCAGGAGCGACTTGAGCCAGCGGCAGTTGATTCTGTTGAGGGAGATGACATGTCAGGACGTTGAGCGCGAAGGAATTGTGTGAGATCAGCCTGACTGAAGTATTAAACCACCACAACAGTGCAAGTAGACAGAAGCGGAAAATTGATTTGCCTAATTGAGGTCAACACAGAGCCTGCAATGCAAGGAAGACAAACAAATTGGTTGCTAAAGCCCGCAACGCCGATGGAGTTGTTCTGGTTGACGGCTGGCGTTGTTCGAATGTTGTATAAGGCTTGGAGACATGCTGGAGTGATCATAGTGTTGCAACTGGCCGGGGCGTGGCTTCCGGCGTAGGGACCACCCCGTTGCTGGCGGTGAACATGGGCCCCGCGCGCATGGGTCACGAGAACGATGTTGTCGGCGCAATCAGGTTGATATGTGGGCCAATTCAGCGGGGACCGCATACGCGAGAGTGCGGATCGATTGCTTGCCGCTTGGGACATGGGTGAAGATATTGAAGTCCGCGTTGAGCATCTCGTTTGCCTTGCTGACAGGAACGGTGAACGGAACCCAGTCTCGTTTGCCTTGCTGACAGGAACGGTGAACGGAACCCAGTCTCCAGCATGTGTCAATGGTGTTGAAGCAATCCCGTGCGCTGCGAGCCATCATGATTGTGCAACAGCAAATGTCGTCTCTTCAGTAGGACGCACAAATGACTCCACCTGTAGATAGCATCAGTAACATTCTAATACCGTACGAGAAGTCGCACCTGTTCCTTGCTCAGCCATTGTCCGTAGAGCGGGATATCGGGGAAGCTGGCTGCATTTAGAGCGGTTTCGAGGCCAGGTAAGTCGCGCGCTGGGCAAGGTTGATACCAAGATTGAGCCTTTGCTCTGCCGGAGCGACATCCGAGTGGACGAAATCGATCGGAATAGAGTTTCGACGATCAAGAATGACCAATTTTCGGCCGTACACTACGGCTGCGGCGAATGAAAACGCCCAGAGACGAGAGAAAAGCATGAAATCTGGGGAGTTTGCTGCATCACGACAACAGAGTGATTAAGAGCAAAGGACACACTGCTTCAGTGTTCATGGCGATAACAAGGAAGCCTTGTCTTCGAATTTTTGTGAGCACGATACGAGGATGATTTCTCGGGGTGGGTGAAAGATTGCTATAAACAGAAAGGAGGGCAGTAACCCTGCTGGGGTCAGTCCCTGTCTTGCTGTCCTCGATCTCGTTGCTTACCACCACCCAGAACGACCTGTTTCGACCTAGACTGCCATTCATCCCCAGTTTGCAAAAGATCTTCTTGTTTTTGTTGCCATTGACCCGGGTTTGCAGGTCTGTGGCTGGATTTCGGCTAGGGGATGCACTTCTAATCGATGTCGAAGACAGCGCGCTTCGTCTCGCGATATGGCTCGATTGAGACCGCGCTAGACAGCACATTTGCTGCGGATCATTCGACAGACTGCCAAGGTCAGTTCCAGCGTCCCTCGCTTCTAACATTGCCACTTACCACTCATCAGAACACCTTGTTTCGCCCAAGGCTGTCGTTCATAATCGCGGCTGGAACAGGTAAGACTTTGGCGGGTTTATCACGCTGTCGCTCGCGCTGAAAGCCAGTTGTTTAGGCCCACCGTTGCGAGCAACACTGCCCGAAGCATCCCGAGTTCGAGTTTGCGCTAGATTCGTCCTGGTTTGACTGCTGCTGACCGAGTTCTACAGATATGCGGCAGGCATTCGGCCAGGCAACGCGTTTTCGATGGCGCTTGGATGTGCCGTTTGGCCGGGCTTCGGAGGTCGAGCTGGAGCGACTGTTAGTAAACGGGACTCACCAGGCGCAAGTATTACCGTTGCGCTCTCCATTCATGGACTAATCTTCGTTCGCAGGCCGCTTGGACAGCGTCTAGGGAAAGAGTCAGCAAGCACAATACTTAGCAACGATTTGTACCTTTCTCATGCACCCTCTTTTCGCCTTCTCATGCTGACTATCTCTTGCAGCTCGCCGCAGACGTTCCGTTCGCGATTGCCAACCTTCGGCTGGTGTGTGTTTTGCTTATTCTTGACATTGCCGCTGACAAACGCGTTCGTTAGCATTGATTCCGCAAGTTGCGAGAGCGGCACGAACGCTAGTGGCACCCCGGCATCTTGTTGTGTGGGTTAACGATGGCGTAGTGAGAGGTTCCGGCCCGCAGTACCTAGATTTTGAGGTAGCGCTGCCGAGCGAGCGCCGGTCCAGCTTGCCAGATAAAGCCGTGTAGGTGGCCGTTGTTGCGTGAGAACGCGGCCCGTGCTGTTAGGGGCGGCTTTGAGGCGGGCTGGTTGGGGGCAGCGGCGGGGAGGAGGAAGGGATGCGGAGTGGTTGGTCAGCGACACGTGACCGGGTGACGGACCCGACTTGCCGGCCACGGTCCCACGCTGCCGCCGCTGCTGGGGGGGAAAAGGGTATGTCCGCGCTCGTCTTGTCCCCGTTTGACTTGTGCTCACCATCAGTGCAGAGTTGTGCGGCGGTGTCCTCAAGTTGTCGGGGTTGCGATGCAGGTGCGTATGCTGGTTGTTGCTGTGGGCTTGGTCGCTGACGCACTCGTCATAGTTGTTAATAGGTGGAGCCGCGGCCACGACCTGAAGTCGCTGTTGTCGTGGTTTCACCCTTGGGCAAAGGTGCGCGTTGACCTTTTGCTGTTGGTTATGTTGCTAATTGCGAATTCAGTTCCTGTGCCCTACTCCGCTGGACATGATTATCGTACCATTCTCAATCCATTTGCTCCACCTCCCTGCTGACCATTGTTTGCAGGCCTTGACCTGCACTCTCTCGTCAGAGGGTCTTGAAGTTCTGTTACTTCTTGATCTTTGTTCACGAACTTCATTTCCGGGCGTCGTTTCCAACGCAGGCGCGTGTCGTTACCGTCTCCTTCCTGCTGACCATTAATTTTAGACCAACCTTCGTTATGCAGCACGTACCGTACCATTCATGCTGCTTGACCTTCTTACTGACCGTCATCTTCAGTTATCTTGGGTTGGTCATCGACCTCTGCTTGCCGTTCGAAGTCGTAACAAGACTTCAGTTGGTAACTCTTCGTGTTTGGCCTCTCCTTCGTCATCTCCCCGCTCACCGTTTTTCCCAGTCTGTTCGCATCGTCGGAGTCGGCCTTGTCGCCTCGTTTGGCTCGTCTTGACTGAATCGTGAGTAGTTATTGCTGTCGTCACATTTAAGTATTAACAAGCGTTCTGACTGTTTGTCAGACACATCCAAATCGAATGGCGCGAATCGTACATCCCCGCCTCCCTCGTAGCGCGTGTCCATGTCGTTCCTGCTCACTCCCCCGCTGACTTCTCATCAGCGCCTTCGATTTCGCGGTAATCGTGGACGGGAGCGGTTCGCGAGCGGCGTTGGCTAGTTGCCCATCGTCCTGACTGAGGCATAGAGTTGCGATGGTGGGTGGTCTCTGTCGTTCATCTACTCGTTGATTGAATACTGCTGGAAGAATGTGCGTTGGCATGGAGAACGAGGTGGCCCGGGGCTTGCTTGTTGACGAGTGCTTCGCAGAGTGAGCATCGCGAGAGGCGGTGTCGAAAGTGGGGCAGCGGGCTCAGTTGGTACTGTTGCCTGAGTGCTGGCGGAAGGGAGCTGAAATCTCGAGAAAGATATTGACCATGCTTGTACTGGTTTTTGCTCCCACATGCCGTCCAACGACACTGTATTATTGGTATCTCCTGCCCTTAGCGCTGAGCGCTGAGCGCTGAGCTGGTTTGCCAAGCCCATCACCTATCTCGCAACCTACGTTTTTTATCTTGCATCCGCGGGCAGCGGTTGTTACCGAACGGACTCTACAATGGGACACTGTCGAGAAAGAGTCGGGGACTGGCGCCTCACCACTACGACCGATTAAGTAATCAGTGTTTCCAAACAGTGTAACACTGTGACATACTACTGACCAGTTTCGCAGTTTCCTCATTTCCGCTGTCATCCTCAAAAGGAAGTTTTCAGCGGCTCCACACTTGCTCCACACACAGCATTGGAGAATGAGTCATCAATGCTGACAAACTGATACCTATGCTACATCGATCATGTACTCGTTACAAATGTGCTATTCAACTGCATGTCCTCGAGGCCTGCAAGGCTTGATGCTGCTAGAGTGGCGTGGGTGTTACCATGTCTTGCCTTGGACTTTGCTTTGAGTCCGCTACTCGCGCCGGCACTATATGCTGCATCATCTCCGGCTCTCTTCCGTTTTTTTGCTTTGACTCCTGGCATGATAGCGTTTGCGCGAAATTCCGTTGCTGAGGTTAAGTTGGGTGCAAGTCGTTGGGCAGTAGGCAAGACCTCATTGTGGTCAAGTTCAAGAACAGCGTCAAGTGCTTTGTCAAGGGCCTCGAGCTCCGGAGTTGGCTTGTCGTGACTGATGGTAAGCAGACGTAGCAAGCCAGTTGCACGTTCCATCTTCTGCGCAAGTACTGTGATGAATGGGAGCTGTGTTGGTCGAGCAGTAGTCGGTTCGAGCTCAGAGGGGATTGTCAATGTTGCTGCTTGCGCTTGATATGCGGAGTAATCTTGATGTGCCTGGACATTGCGGAGAGGACGGTCAAAGAGGGCGCTAATGGCTGCAATGTGTTTGCAGAATTGCAGAAGCGGAAAATCAGGGCAGTCACAGAAGTATGCATCCATATCAACCGCATAGCAATTTGTGCGGTTAGACTGTGATATGACGACAAATCGGCTGTCCTCCATATAGATGATATCATCGCAACTGATTGTTTGGCTCTTCTGAATGATATCCACCCGCTTGCGTGCCTCGAGATCTGGTCCTTCGAAACCAAGCAGACGGTGCCGTTGATTCAGTCGATAGTAAGGTAATACTTTTGTCATGAGCGTCCAAAGCAGATGGTCCATTCGACGATTGCGATGACCTTCAAGAAACTTCGATTTGAGGACATGGTGCCAAGCCTCAAGTAGCATATTGGTGTTGTTGTTCTGAAAGACCGTGAACTGACT